CAACTTGGCGGCACATCAGTGTCAGCCTTGGTAGGATAAATCTCCCTAGATCTATCCAATGGCTGTGAAGATTCTAAACTAACACGAGTCTCATAAGTGTCCAGTTTAAGGGTATTACACAGAAACACACCATAATAACATGAATCAATTATGCACTTTATTCATTTGCAATAAATGACAATAAGTACATCAATCTGATTGGAGCTAAGGGCATACACTGTCTAACACAAGCTTGAATACAACCTACACAAGTTGGGAATGTGTGGCATTTACTCCCAACTTGAGGGGGAGTGTTGAGGTCTTAGACAAATTGTGTAGTCTATAGTGGTAGTTTTTGATTATTTACCATTTAGATTAGAAGTAGGGACCACAACACTCTTGTTGGGTCCTTTTTGAGTAGTTATTTTAATTGTTTTATGTGTTAGTCGCCCTATAAGGGCATATTGGTCTTTGTACTCTTTATTATTTTAGACTATAAATAATAGTGAAGAGGGTGGCCAGCATTAGTGCTCTCTTTTCTCTTTCAAATCTCTTCTCTTCCTATTCTCCTTTCTTCTCTTCTTCTACAAGAAATATTCTTTTCTTTTATAGATTTTTTATTTCAGCACTTTTCTACTGGGTCATTAAGGAAAAGAAGTTGATGAGGAGATTGAAGGTGAAGATTTCATAAAGTTTATTAATGTGGTACACCCACTGCTCTAACTACATCTCCCTAGAAATGAGTGGGTACATGCATCTGGAAAGGTATCCCTGTGGCAATTTCAATTACATGTCTATTTTTTCTCTCCGTTATACCATTCTACTACAGAGTATGGGAACATGAGCTCTAATGAATTGGTCCTTTTTCTCCAAGGAAGAGTTTATTAATGAGATACACCACTGCTCCAACTACATCTCCCAAGAAATGGGTGGGTACATGCATCTTGATAAGTAGCCCTTTGGTAACTTCAACTACATGTCTATTTTTTTCTCTCTGCTACACCATTCTGCTATGGAGTGTGGGAACATGAGCTTTGATGAATTGGTCCTTTTTCTTCAAGGAAGAGTTGTAGTCTTGTAGGTGCTTTTCAAAGTACTTCTTAGCATTGTTACACCTTATTATCTTGATTTTCTTCTCAAACTAAGCTTCCACCATTCTAAAGAAATTCTAGACACTAGAGGGAACTGCATTATTACTCTTCATCAGATAAAGCCAAGAGTGTCGAGAGTAATAATCAATGAATATGAGAAAGTATTAGCCACCCATACAAGGAATAAAATATGGACCCCAAACATCGGTATGTATCAAATCGAAAGCAACATTACTTTTTCAATTACTTGCAAATATGTAGTTCTACATTGCTTTGAGGGATGATAGACTTCACATTGTAGACTCAAGTTGGACACAAATTGACACAAGTTTGGAAACAAAAACTTGATAAACTTAAAAGACACAACCAAGACGGTAATGACACAACTTCAAAAGACTCAAATTTTCACTTTGACATGACTCGGTTTGGCACAATAATCCTTGCTCAGGACATAATAAAAAAGGTAAACTCTAGCTTCATGTCAAGTTCCAATTGTCCTCCCCATACTCAGGTATTGAAAAACACAATGTGAAGGAAAAATGTCACTAAACAATTATGGGGTTTGGTAAGAGAACTAATACAAAATATTTTTGTGCAACTAACATGAAGGAAAGAGCTCAGGGAAAGATTACTAGTAAGTTTGACTTCATCTAGACCTGAGATTGGAGTCTAAGATCCATCAACTACAACAATCTTACCTTTCTCTGGAGTTACTTTATAAGAGGTGAAGTGGGAAGGCATGCCAGTCATGTGAGCACTAGATCTGAAGTCCACAATCCAAGAGCTAGGAGAAGAAGATTGACAAACAAGTGCACTACCTGATTTAGCAAAAGCATTGGAAGGATACTAGAGCCAGTTGAGGTGGGGGACCTAGATTTCTCAAGCTGAGTCAGTAGGTTCCTAAGCTTCTCCATCACATTTGAGGAATCATGTGAAGGAGCTTGAACACTAGGAGATGGACAATCTCCCACAGTAGCAAAATGTGCATTTTCATTCTCTTTGTTGTCTTAAAGTTCTTGGGCTTCAAATGTGGATTTAGCTTCCAACACTAATCCTTAGTGTGTTTGGGCTTCTTATAGTATTCACACACCACTTCATCAATTTTCTTATTAACACCCCGTCTATTACACATAGCTTGGGTTTGGAGGACATATAAGCCAAATGATCAATTACTAAAGCCTGCATCATAGCAGCCATTCTACTCTCCTCTCCCCGTACCAAGGAGTATGTAGTGGCAAGGGAAACAATATTTGTACTCAAGATAAGCTGTCGGGTAAAATCATACTTAGCATTCAAGCTGGCCAAGAAATAAAGAACTTAGTTCTTCTCAACATATTTTCGGTATTGTTCACCATCTTGAGGATTCTTCCATTCCAAGGCCTCGAAATGATCCATTTCTTCCTAGAAAGATTGTAATGAAGAGAAGTACATAGTCACAGTCCTTTCCTCCTAACGCATATTGCAGGCTTCCCTTCAGAGTTGGTAGATTCAAGCTGTATTCCTAACATTGGAGTATGTGGTAGTAACACAATTTCAAATGTCCTTGATAGTAGAGAGAAACATGCAGTTTTGAGCAATATGTGGCTGCACTGAACAAACCAGCCATGACAGAACCAATGAATTTTTCTATTCTTGCTTGGCAAACTTCTGGTCATCAGATTTCGGCTTCCCCTCCTTGCCTGTAATGAATCTCAACTTACCCGCCCTCCAATGGTAAGCTTGGTAAATTGAGACCACTCTAGGAAGTTGGTTCCATCAAGATTTACAATGGCTATTGTACCACTAGAAGCATCAATATTGCCCGGGAGCATTCTGGAAATGGCTTCTACCTCCTTAGGCAATTACATTGGACTTGCACTAGCAACTTGACTGCCCTACTTCAGTCCAAGAACCAACTGGCACACAATAAACCCATAAGAATAGGTCAGCACTTGATTGGGAGCCAATAGGAGGCCAAAAACGCAACTGGCGGTAAAATAGGATGTGAATAAAATCTCCCAAAGTGTAACTAGGGTTCAAAATATTGTGGAACCACTTCCCATACCTCCATGAAGGTAAAACAACCTGAGAACGACAAGTTTCAAGCAAGAAACAACTCCAAATAGGAAGAAAATCCCCAAATATCGAAATTATATATTTTTTATTTTTATCAAAAATTTTTGGAAAAAGCATGGAAGCATCAAATGGATTTAAGATCCATACCAAAATGCTTCTAAACTTAGGGTGCACAAGGTCAAACCAGATTCAAGGGTTTCTGCTGGCACCTATACAGGCTACTAATGTCATCCGGCAGCGGTCTGATGTCAACAGGTCTTCCTTGGTTTGAAGTTCAGTAGAGGAGGCTCTTCCTAGATCCCAACTTGATCTGATACAAAGTTGGAATGAAGAGTATAGGAAGAAGAAAAGAGAGAAGAGGAAGAAATTTTGGGAGAATAGGGTGTGTTACTGTTCACAGCCAAGAAAATTCTCATTTAAGTTAGAAAGAAAAATTACATAATGGGAGCCCAATAAAGAGAAAAAGCATAAATACCCCTGCCCACAATGCATAATCTCAACAGCTTCTATGTATCAGATTCTTCTTGAGGCCCATGGTTTAGTAACCCCTGCAACAATATTCTTTCAACTGTATTGGCAGAAAATTCTTGATTCCTTGAAATTAGAATTCAATATTGAATTATTATATGGTCACAGGTTGAAATTGTCTTGGGTTTGCAGCAAGTTGGTTCTAGACTTCTAGTGAATATTTTGATAAGCTTATTTCTGGTCTGGTTTTGTGAGAAGATAGCGCACTATTTTTTTTTTCTTGAACAAATTTTAAATAAAAATTGCCTCCCAGTTTTTCAATGCTGAAGAATTTTTTGTGCACAAGTTCCTTTGATCAACTGTTCTTTCTGTCTTTTTTATTCTGTAAAGAAGTGGTTTGTGCACCCTAAACTGCACAAATACATAATCATGATATGCAACAAGGATGTCCTATGCATCAATCTATATAGCCACACATTTTGGAAAATATTATTGCACACATATCTTGAAATAAAAAGCACATTTTGTCTTTTGTTTCTGGCTTAATTTGTAGTTTCTTAATTGGAAATAAATTCTTTCTCATATATATGGAATAATTTGGTAATATAATAGATAAATAAAAAAGAATCAACCCACTGATGTTGGGAATTTCTTGAAAGAGAAAGTTTTTAGTATTGAGTTGCTTTTTGATTTGTTTTTTATTTTGTTCTGTACACTTTTTTGTTTTATTGAAATCTTTCCTGATCATTTTTGTGCACAGATCTGCCTAACCACTTAAAATTATTGTTTTGTTCGTTCATTTTACTATATGTTTCTTTTGTTTTGATGATCACTATAAATCCAAGACTACATATAGCTTCTATGTGGAAATATAGCCCAACTCTGGTGTTAATTTTATATTACTCCTCACCAATACAAGCCATGGGGTATGAGACTAATAATGCCATGAAACTAATATGATATCTATTACCAGGCCTGATAGTTTTCACCATCATGGTATTGTATGAACTTGCCACTATGACTATGATATCATTTGCCTTTTTCCTTCTTTTCATTATGATGTATTTGGGTTCTTCTATGCATATATTTGCAATGGACATGTATGATGCCTTTATTTTTTTCATCTGGTGGTTCACCAAAATTCATTCTCAAGGTTTCATTGTACAGCCTGCTACTCTTGCAACCAATGTAAAAGCAGTATTCACTTGCTTGCTTGACCAAGTAAGTGAAATTAATTTTAGTTGTGTACTGGTCTTTAATTGGGCTCTATTTCACCCATTCATGCAATCCATGCAGTGTTGCATTCAGGTTTGCTATTTTGCAGGTTAGCCAATATATCAGAGATGGGCTGGAACGGGCCAGAGATGGTCTAAATGATGCTGCAGCTTTGAGGGAAAGATTTTTGCTGGGCACAAATATCAGTAGAAGGGTGGCTGCTGCTGCAGCTTCTGCTGTAAGTACTCAACCATGTCTCTTTAATAAATCCTGGTTTCTTTGCAGAAAAAATTTTCAGTCAGTAATCAATTCGGTTGGTGATGATGTGTAGGCAGAAGCAGCTGCTGCTGCTGGTGAAAGCAGTTTCAAAACTTTTATGGTGGCTGTACAGCGTTGTGCCAGCAGTGTGGCCATAGTCCAACAAGTATGGTTACCCAGGAGCATACTCAATTGATTTTTAGGCCAGGCAACAGTGGCATTAATTATGAAATCCTAACAGTGACATTTTCTTTTCTTCTTCAGTACTTTGCAAAATCTATTTCTCGGCTCTTATTACCAGTGGATGGTGCACATGCTGCTTCCTGTGAAGAAATGGCCACTGCTATGTCTCGTGCTGAAGGTGTTGCCCTTAAAGGACTTCAACAATGCATTGAAACTGTGATGGCTGAGGTCTGTATTTGGGAAACTTTCATCCTTTGATCAGATAGATTGGCATGGAAACACAAAGCATGTAATCACGTATACTTTTCCATGTATTTCTTTCTCTGAAATTATAAAAGATCCTATAAATGATTACCTATTAAGACATGCTGTCATTGCCAAAACCTATGATTTATAGGCTTGGAACTCAAATGTTTTCCTGTCTTATTTATTTTCCTACGAAAGTATTGTAATTCATGTTATGATGAATGAATGGAAAGATGGGAAAGAACCAACTGAATAGAATAGCTGAATAAGGGAAAATAGACTAAGATGCATGTCCAGAGGAGACAACCAACTGGACCGGTAAGGAATCATCTGATGCAGGTTGAAGGTTCTAGGAGAGCTAAGGGGAAACTGAAAGGTACATGGATCGAYATGGTGAGAATATCTGAGGATTTAGAACTTATGAGAGGATATTTCCCTTTATAGTGTGGAAAAATGAAACAAGATTCATGTAGCAAATAGTTGGAATAGGCTTTTGACTTCAGTATTTCATATTCTGATCCATTTGAGTGTTTGACAATCAAGGTTTTAGTGCTGAATCTCTAGGACATTGATGCCACTATTAGAACCTATGGTTTCAAGTAGTTAATATACTTTATCTGTTGATTTAAATTTATTTATTGCTTAGATAAGGGAGGATAATAGTATTACAAGAGGAGTGTGTGACAATGTTTCTTCTGCATCCTTGTCAGAGTTTTTTGATTGGTTCTCTTCCTCCTATGAGAATTTCTCCCCCCAATACATTTTTGTAGGTAGAGCGCTTGTTGTCTACAGAACAAAAGGCAACAGATTATAGGTCCCCTGATGATGGAAATGCTCCTGATCATCGGCCAACAAATGCCTGTACAAGGTAAATCTAGTTATCCAACTTCATCGTAAGAAAACTTACAGTTCATATTAAGGTTGTCCATCTATTAATGTTTCTGTCATGGATAGAGTTGTTGCATACCTGTCCCGTGTCCTTGAGGCTGCATTCACTACATTAGAAGGACAAAACAAACAATCTTTCCTCACTGAACTGGTATACCAATCTATTTCTCTTGTGATCTTCTTTGACTGTTGAGTGTTTCAATGACTGCTGTTTATCAAACTCTCTTGATTGTTTCTGGTAATACATTCATATATCTACATGAACACATTTGTGAATGTGTCTGTATGTGCATTGTGGTTTAGTGGGTGAATAAAAGTAACTTTTTTTGATAAGTAGTGAATAAATTTAAATTTTACCTAATTAAAACTTGCCTTAAGTTTATGTAGGAAAACTGGGCCGAATGGGCCGTAGTGTTTGTTCTCTTGTTAAGTAGTGTTCTTTATGGGCCTATTAACTCCTTTTTTATTTCTCTTAAGTTATTGATGTGCTGGCCGCCCACTTAAGTGCAGGCTTGTAATTAACCTTGATTAAGTCTGATTAATAAAATATAAGAGAGAGGAGAGTGAAAATCCATCGAACTCTCTTCTTCTTCCTCTTCTTCTTCTCAATCTTCTCCTTCCTGTTGGTTTTCCTTTTTTTTTTCTCTTCCTTTTGTTGCTGTAATCAGAAACTAATCTTGGATTTAAAGGACTGAATCACATCTTGGTATCAGAGTGGTCCTTCCTCATCTTTTTTGTTTTTCTTCCTTTTCCCATACACCCTTCGATTATAAGAGTGTATGGAGAGATAAAGTTCTTATGGAACAAAGAACTTTTTGCCTAGTTGGTTAAGGGTTTAGAGAGTCGAAATCTGGCTGTAGATTGCCAAGAAGTGAAGCTGCTGTTTTTTGCCCAAAACCCTAGCTGACTAGAGGGATTTTTCAGTTATGGGCTGAAGAGAAGGACTGGGTGTGGCGCTCAATGCTTGGAGGGTCCCTTTTGATCTCTTGAAGTGGGCGGTTGAGGTTGGGAGATGTTTGGAGAGCTTTGGTAGGGATGGCTTCTTCTCTCTTTTGCCTAGGCAACCGGGTGTAGTGAAACCCTAGATTTTGAACTTTCGGGTTAGTCCTATTCACGATCCAAGCTTTGGGCCCAACTTTACACTATCTTGGGCTTGGGCTTCAGGCTGGGCCCATTAGAATTTTGGCTTCGGGCACTGGACTGACCTCAGTTAGGTCTATAAAGATTGAAAAACTTATTGTTTGATTTTCGTTCAATCAATGGAGCAATCTGGAAGTGAGTTGAAACAGATTTTGGTAGCTGGGGTTGGTCAAACAGATTCCTTTTTAACTATTGTGACTACAATTAAACTGGATGGAATAAATTACCTAGCCTAGGCACAATCCATACGAATTTATGTTTGTAGTAAAGGTAAATTGGGGTTTCTCACAAGAAGTAAGAACAAACCTGAAGAGACTAATCCTACATATGAGAAATGGATGTAGGAGAACTACACAGTGATTGGATGGTTAGTCTCAACTCTATGCAGCYTCACATAAGTTAGCATTACCTTTAGACGACTTCAGCTAAGGAGATTTGGGATAGTGTTACTGAAACATATTCTCAGAAGTTAAATGTTGCAAGAGCCTATAAGTTAAAGAATGATGTGAACAATCTGAGACATGGGGAGAATAGTGTGGCCGTCTACCACTCCATGTTAAAGTCATTGTGGCAAGAGATTGATGTTATGAGACAGTTTTGTGGGAGAGCACCAAGGATGTAGAGGCATTTAGGAAACTGGTAGAAAGAAACATGGTGTTTGAATTTGTTACATGACTCAACCCTAAATTTGACATTACTAGGCAGAATATTCTAGCCAAAGATGAGGTCACCCTGCCTCAAGCATATTCTATAGTGAGCAGTGAAGAAAGTAGGCAGAAAGTACAGTTACAGGGACCACCTTCAGAGCAATTTGCACATGCCGGGATAAAACCAAAAGGGCTGATTGAGAAGAAAGAAATGATATGTGAATACTGCAAGAAACCAAAACATACTAAAGATTCTTGTTGGAAACTTCATCCAGAGCTTCTCTTGGACAGGTTTCGGAACAATAATAACAACAAGTATTCATGTTTGAGAGGTGGAAGTAGAGAAAGTGAAGTGAAATCTCCTATAGAGTAGTTGGCAACAGTAAAGGCAGAATTTGAAAGGTACGGGAGGTTAATTAATCATTTGGAGACCACTGTTGCAGCATCCAACCCTTCAAGCAACACTTCTTCATCTGCATTTGCCCACTCAAGTATTCGTGTTTTTGCAAATCATGCTACTATTTCAGGTAATCATAAAATCCCTTGGATTATTGATTCTGGTGCATCAGACCATATGACTAGCATATCTAACTTCTTTTGCCCCCATCTCTGGCAAAGGAGATATTAAGGCCTCTTGACTCCCTTGTTTTACCCTCGGTTTTTTATGTCCCTAAGCTTAATACCAACCTCTTATCTATTTGTAGCTTGATTATATCCATGAATTGCATCATAACTTTCCTACTCATTATGTTTTTTAGGACCTGAAATCTTAGAGGATGATTAGAAGTGGCCATGAGGTGAATGGAATGCTGGACACACTTGATAGAAGTCTTGGACCACCTAATGTAGTACCTTTAGAGTTTGTCTTATCAGAGTTAGTTGATAGAGTCATGTTAAGTCATTTGCATTTTGGTCAGTTATCTTTTTTGCTTCAAGTCATTTGTTTCCCGATATGTTTAAGGGAATATCTCTGTCGAGTCTTCATTGTGAGTCATGTGAACTTGCAAAACATTGTAGACAACCTTATTTAGTGAGTAATAAAAAATCAATTTCTCCTTTCCATGTTGTGTACTCTGATATGTGGGGGCCATATCATTTACCTGTAATGGAGGTTACAAGTATTTTATCCTTTTTATTGATGATTTTTCTCAGTATACATGGATTTACCTTATGAGATCCTAGGATATAGTACCAACTATTGTGCAAAAATTTCATGAGCTTATCCTTATCCAATTTAACTCTCAGATCAAAAGATTCCAATCTGATAATACCAAAGCATATTTTGAGAAGAATCTTTCATCCTATCTTGATGCCATATTCATCAAAGTTCTTATTCCTACACTCCACAACAAAATGGAGTGGTAGAAAGGAAGAACTGCCATGTGGTTGAGGTTGCTAGAAGTCTCCTCTTTTCTTTCTATGTTATTATTAAGGTTTTTTTTTTATTTTTTATTTTTTTTTGGGGGGGGGGTGTTGTTCTTACTACTACATGCTTGATTAATTGTATGCCTTCCCAGGTTTTGGGTTTCAAAACCTCTTTAACCTTTTTTTTTCTGGATGAGGGTCTCTTCTCTTCCTCTTCGAGTTTTTGGGTGCACCTACTAGTTACATGTTTATAGTCAACAGAGACACAAATATGAACCTAAAGCACACAAGTGTGTCTTCCTAGGATATGCCTCCACACAGAAGGGCTATTGTTGTTTCAATCCAGTTCGTGGCACCTGCTTTGTTTCTAGGATGTCATATTTGCTGAGTCTTCATTTCTTTGGTACTTCTCTTGAGGAGGAGCATTTTGATGAGCCGTTTGCTATGTCCCCAGTTGTTCCTCTTCCAGTCCCTACTAAGTCTTTTGTTGAGTCATCCCCTCTTATTGTGTCTAATTCACATGTTCCTACTCCCCCTCCTCCTCTAGTTCATCTTTCCACATTTCCTTCACATCCCATTGTCCAAAGGTGGTACCAAAGACAAAGACTCAGGTATGAGCAAGCTGTTTTCACTCCTTGAATTGAGCTTCTTGCACCTCCATCACTATTGAGGTCACAAGTCAATCTTCCTTTGACCCCTTTGCTACCTTCTCATACCTTGATCTTCCTATTGCCCTTCGCAAGGGCAAGCACAGTGAATTAAAAGGCGCGCTTGAGTTTCACCTAGGCGCATTGGCGAGGCACATTTTAGGGTATGCGCCTTGCCCAGGTCCTAGGTGCACCCCTTTCAAAAGGCATACGTCTGGTGCGCCTCAGCCCAGGCATGCGCCTTTTTAAAGTTTTACACTTTTTGCTTTTTCTTTTAGTCTAATGGCCGAGAACCCCCTATTTGCTAATGTTGTTCATTCATTCATTGCAATAAAATACCTTCTTAAAAGGCAATGAAAGTTATACAATCATTATTTTTTATGTGAGAAATAAGAATTTCAGACCCTAACATAGACTTGTTCGGGCTAGCCTCGAGGGGCGTGGTACAAAGGTGACTCATAGAATCAAGAATGCAACATGTTTTACATCACATTAGCTACTTGAAGCAATGCAATTAAGGAAAAAAAGAGATTGTGGGTTTCATATGCTTGAAAATGCTTTATATGTTTGCTTTTATTTTTAAATTTTCATTTGAATACACTTTACATGTTATGTTTATGTATTTTAATTTTAGATAATAGGTTTTTAAAACATTTATTTTAAAATTTAAGTTTATATTTTTTATTAACATTATGTTTAATATTTTTTGCATTTCTTTAAATTTTTTGGCATTTTTTTTTGAATTTTCCGACTTTTTTTAGCATTTTTTTTGGAATTTTGTGCCTTGCTCAAAAAGGCGTGCGCCTCGCCTTGTGCCTTGCGCCTCAAGTGCAAATTGGCCTTTGTGCTTTTAAAACACTGGGCAAGCGGAAGTGTATTGTCCATTACATCTCCAAACACCTATCCTACAACCTTTTTTCCCCAACATATTATTCCTTTCTTGCCTTTGTTTCTTCACATGAGATTCCCAGATCTGTACTAGAAGTGTGCCAACTGAGTAAACATTTTAGAACCTCATTCCCTTTACGTACTAAAAGATCAGAATTCCCTTTTCAAATTGTGTATTCAGATGTGTGGGGACTTATTAATATTCCAACTGAGAATGGTTACAAGTATTTTATTTCCTTTGTTGATGACTTCTCTCGTTACACTTGGATTTATCCTATGCACTCACGGGAGGAAGTTCCTAAAATTGTGAAAGACTTTCAGCATATGGTTTACACCCAATTTCAATTCGAGATCCGAATCTTCCAATCAGATAATGCCAAGGAATATTTCCATAGAGACCTCACAGATTTCTTTGCCTCCTGTGGCTCTCAATACAGGAGCTCTTGTGCCAGAACCCCACAACA